GAAGTAGGAGTGGTTCGGGGGACCAACTGACCCTTTCTTCCTTAACAAACCATAGAATTTGACGGACGTTTCCTTTCAAGAAAATAGTTGAAGATTCTATGGTGTTCTGGCTCGTGTAAAACCCAGGTAAAATATGTTGAAGTGTTCTTGTTTTCAAGATTTTTTTAGTATACATGTCCCCAAAGTCGGACTTTGGACTTCGACACGGAAGCAAAATCTTGTTTTCATTCATCCTCTTGCCAGATACCGTGGGTGTAGGGTTTCGGGTTTATAGGGTAGGGTATATAGGGTAGGGTCTAGGGTTTAGGGTTTAGGGTTTAGGGTTTAGGGTTTAGGGTTTAGGGTTTAGGGTTTAGGGTTTAGGGAAACTGGTCGAACCCTATGGAACCCAAAATGGTCCGTTGACCTTCGATCACTTGTGGGTTCGTCGAACGTGCGGCCCTTTTAGGCATCCACCTTCGTTTGTTTCTAAACCCTAAAAGACGACCAGAAGCAAACAATTGTTTTACGACTTGCCTTTCTCATGGGTTTCTACAGCAGGCTGCCCAAGGAAAGGCGAGAGCACGAAAAGCTGCATGTGGCACTTGCTCGTGGAGTCCGATGAATGAGCAAGCACGAGCATACAGTAATGAGTCATTGCACATAACGTGTACATAGTAAGCTGCAGCCCCAATTTCTGAAACCAATCTAGAGAAGACTGAATCGCAGAGAAGACTGAGCCGTCGAGAAGACTCTAGAGAAGACTGACGATGTTCCGTGTTCCGCATCATCCAAGCAGTTGTGAAAAACGCAGAAAATAGCGGCATTTTCTGCATGCGCGACGCGTTCGATTATCTGCCCCAACTTCGGCCTGAACAGGGAGGGCCGTAAACCCACCCTTAAATTCTGAGACACGCACGATACAAGGGCTCGCATCGTGCCAAGGTCCCAAAAAAGCGGTTTATGAGTGTAGGGCTTAAAGTTCAGGGTTTAGGGCCGGGTCAAACAAGACTTAGGCAACATGCGAAATAGAAGCAGAACAACTTACAACAGTTCTAGGCTTTCCAAAGCGAGCCCCATAAAGCCCTTTCAAAAACCCTGACCACTAGAGAAGCCCCACGAATACTGAAACCTTAAAAACCCTTCAAAACATAACCCAAACGAACCCAAAACCCGCAAGAAACTGGCAGCTGCTTTGTTAAAGTGATGCCCTAAATCCTAAACCCTAATCCCTAAGCCCCTAGGCCCAAGTTGAGGCTCCTAGTTCATTATGCTGCCCCACCTGTCGGGTGGGGTACACAAACACCGAGGACCGAAACCCTAATCTAAGGGCAGTTGCACGGTCCCTTAGTATGGTCCCTTACCTCCTTTCAAGGGTTCTGAAGAATGGGCATACAAGGGGTCCCCCGCTAAAGGGCCCATACTTGAGGGACCATGCAATTACTCGAAGACGAAAAAAACCTAAGCCCTGGACCCTGAACCCTAAGCCCTAAACCCCAACTCTGAAACCCTAAACCCCAAACCCTTAAAGCAGGGGTCAATGGATCCCTCACAGGAGCTGCTCGAGCGCCACCTCAAGAGGCCCCGGCTTTAGGACCTGAGTTTTTAGGGTTTAGGGTTTAGGGTTCAGGGTTTAGGGTTTAGGGCTAGGGTATAGGGTTAGGGTTTAGGGTTTAGGGCTGAGGGGTGGTTTTTGGGACTTAATGTGTTTTTCTTTTGTTTTGGGTTGATAAGGGACCCTATAAACAAATATTTTTCAAAGGGTTCAAAAGGTCAACCCAGTTCTGGTCTAGGGTTTAGGGGCCGTGGTTCTGTTTTTTGGGCCTAAACCCTAAACCCTAAACCCTAAACCCTAAACCCCAAACCTTGTGTTTTAGGCTTGGGGCTTGTTAACGGGAATTGAGGGGTTAAAGGGCACAGGTCTTTACTCAGGGATTCGCTTTGACCCTTCAAGACACCCTGGTAGGACTTCAGCTTCAAACCCTGAACCCTAAACCCTAAACTCAGCTTCTGTTGCTTTTAGGGCCTTTCGCGTTTTTAAGGGTGTAGGGTTTGAGGGCTCCTCCGGTTTAGGGCTCTGATTCGCCTCAACCCTGAACCCTAACCCAAGGGTCCATGTACCTCATTGTTATATACTTGGGCCCCAAACCCCCGGACAGGAAGCACTTTAAGGCCCAGGTAGTCCCTACTTACGTATGTGTTTTGAGGCTTTCTGCAACGTGTCGTGTTTTAAGTGCTTCGGATGTAGGATTCGGGGTTTAGGGTAAACCCTAAACCCTAAACCCTAAACCCGAAACCCTAAACCCTAAACCTTAAATCCCAGACCCTAAACCCTGAAGCCCTGCCTTTGCCAGCCCTGGGCACCTCTGAACCCTAGAACTAAGCCTTAACAGCGCCTACTCTTACCCAAGTGCCCGGAAAACGCTCCCCCAAAACATTGCAAGAGGGTTTAGGGTTTTAGGATTTGAGTAGAAGTCCAAGGGCCCACCCGCCTTTGAGGTTGTATCCGGTTTGCCATCATTGGGGTGTCAGGGCAGGTTAGGACTTCTGTTTGTGGGTTGTGAGTTTTTTGGTGTCTCAAGCCTAGTCGCAAACCCAAAACCATTACTCTAAACTTAACCCGAAACCCTAAACCCCAAGCCCTCAGTAGAAAATTCAATCCCAAGAAGCAAAAAGCAGCAAACTGGAGCACCGAGATTCGTGCTCTCAAGCCTCGCAATCCCACTCGCCCTTCGAGTAGTAGGGTGGTTTAGGGTTTAGGGTGTAGGGTTTAAGGTCCATGCTCCTAAATAGGGAATACTTGGGGTTTAGGGTTTAGGGTTTAGAGTTTAGGGTTTAGGGTTTAGGGTTTAGGGTTCAGGTCCTACTTCAGGGTGTCCGACACCCTAAGCCCTAAACTCAAAAAGCTGATGGACCTCAGGCAGAAGCAAGTCGAACCTGCGGAGCGGCAGCAGGCCTCGGACGTGCCTTGTGGGTTGAGTGGGTTTTGGAGTACGATTGGGGTTTAGGGTTTAGGGTTTAGGGGTTTAGGGGTTTAGGGTTTAGGGTTTAGGGTAAAGCTTAGGGTTTAGGATTTTCTCCTTCTTTGGGTTCTGGGTTCCTATGATAGCTACTTATGCCTAACACTATATACTTTTTTTCCAGGGTCTACTCCAAAGTAGGGCTGATGGGTTCAGACCTTTTAGGCTTCGAGCAGCCCGAATCCTACACAGCCCTCTGAACACAGGGTTTAAACTCCGACGAAGAGAAGGGAAATTCGAAACGAAGGTTGGGGATAGAGTTGTGTTGCGTGCATGTGGTTCAGGGAAGTTGTAACTCGGAGGGTTCAGGGTTCCTAAACCCTAAGGCCCAAAACCCCTACACCACCAATCCCTGTCAGAAAGTCCGGATGCGAGCTCCCAACCAAACCCTCCACCTCCTTCCCGCCACAAGGGCGTTTAGGGCTCCAGGGGTCATTGGGGACTAGGGACCCTAAGGTTTTGTGTTTAGGGCTTCGGGTAGCAGACTATGTGAGGCTTGGATGGTGAGCGTTGATCTAAATATGTGAACCCTTTTGGGTGTGTCCATTGTGGTGTCTAGTCCTCATAGACCCAGAGTAGGCCCGGATCCTCAGTTTTTCGGGTTTCGACTGCTCTTGAGCCTAGTAGCATAGATTCCTGTCTAGATTTTGCCGTATAGTATATGTTCACCAAAAAGGGTACGACCATTTGATCAGGCCCCAGATCATCCCATGGCCTAATCTGAGGAGCCTCCTTTCCCCAAAGGGTCGGTCTTTGAAAGTAAGGCCTGCGCCCTAGCAGCCTTTAAAGCAATCACAAACCTCGCACCCCTGATAGGATCCGCAGGGTTGCTATCCCTTGTAGCGTTTTTACAGGGCGTAGGGTCTAGGGTTTAGGGTTCAGGGGTTTAAAGTTTAGGGGTTGACCCCTAAACCCTGAACCCTGAACCCTAAACCCCTCCCCCCCCCAAACCTGAACTCAGTAGGATTTCGTGTGCGGGCTGACGGCCTCAGGCTTAGGAAGCTTTAGGAAGCTTAGGGCTTACCGTGCAAGATGCTCCTTGGGGTTTAGGGTCTAGGGTTTAGGGTTCAGGGTAAAGGGTTTAGGGTTTAAAGGGTTTAGGGTTTAAAGGGTTTAGGGTTTAGGGTTTAGGTTTGGGGTCTGCGGTTCGGGGATTGGGTCTTAGGGTTTAGGGTACCCAAAATTCTATACGCCCTGCCCACTCCAAAGCCTCTGCATGCTCCAGGACCTCCCTGAAACTTTGAAGCCCCGCAGCCCTCAACCCGCAACCCTAACTCCTAAACCCTATACCCTATAATTCTAAGCCCTAAACCTAGCCCCCCTCGCAACCGCCCCGAGAATGCAGGGATCAGAGTTTGCTCCCCTAGACTCCGTAGACTCCCTAAACTCCCCAGACTCCCTCAGAGTTTAGGGTTTTAGGGATTAGGGTTTAGGGTTTGGGGATTCTAAACTTCCTAAACTCCCCAATCTCCGTAAACTCTAAGCGGCCACAGGTGATGGAGGCGGAGGTCGCTGAGGCAGCGCGGCGCGACTGCCAAGTGGAGCGAAGGCGCGCTTTCAGGGTTTTGGGGTTTTAGGGTTTAGGGATGAGGGGTTAGGGGTTTAGGGGTTTTTGGGGGTTTAGGGTTTGGGGATTAGGGTTTAGGGTTTAGGGTTTTGGGGTTTTCCGAAACATTTCAACCCGGCGGCGGAGCTCCTCGCCTTCCCAGACGGCTCGAAGGCGACGGTTGGAAGTGACATGTCTAAGGGTCGCTATTGTTAGGGTCTTTTGACCCTTTAGGGTTTAGGGTTTGGGGTTTGGGGTTTAGGGTTTAGGGTTTCGGGCTTAGGGTGTAGCGCTAGGGTTTAGGGTAGTTAAGGCCCTCTGAAGGGAATAGTATGGGCCCCTTGGGTTTTGAGGGTATATAGAAGGGGTATCCAAGGAGTCCTCTCTTAAGGCCATACTAGTGACATTCCCTCCGGCAGTGCAGGCTCCAAGCAAGCAAGATAGCTGCGGTAGAGATGTCCACCCCCGAAGAGATGTCCACCCCCGAGAAGGCCGCCGACGGCGTACTCCCGACGACGAACAAGCACGAGCTCTCGTGGAAGAAGTACGAGACTTACTACTGCGAGGTGGACCCGAAACAGGGCGACCGCGCAACCGAGATCAAGCTGCTCTCCTTCAAGCGGCCGCACATGCGCGGCTTCCACTTCGCGTGGTTCGGCTTCTTCATGGCCTTCTCGTCGTGGTTCGCGTTCGCGCCGCTGATGCCGCAGATCAAGAAGGACCTGGGCCTGACCAAGGACGAGCTGTACAATGCGAACATCGCATCTGTGGCGTCGACCGTGCTCATGCGCTTCGCTGTGGGCCCTCTGTGCGACAGGTTCGGCACGCGCACCATGTTCTCCATGCTGCTGACGTTCGGAGCTATCCCGGTCTTCTTCGGTGGTCTCGTGAACAACGGTACTGGCCTGGTCATCATCCGCTTTGTCATCGGTGTCCTGGGCGCGACCTTTGTGCCATGCCAGGCGTGGTGCTCGCAGCTGTTCGCGAAGGAGATTGTGGGCACGGCCAACGCCATGGCTGGTGGCTGGGGCAACCTTGGAGGCGGTGCTGTTCAGCTGCTCATGGTCGGCGTGTGGAACATGTTCCGCACTGGCTTTGACGACGAGGAGGCCTGGCGCCTTTCTTTCATCGTCCCCGGAGTTTTGACATGCGGTACCGGCATTTGCATGTACTTCTTTTCGGACGACTCGCCGAAGGGCAACTTCAAGGAACTGGAGCAGAGGGGCACAATGGAGCGCAAGTCGTCCAAGAAGTCGTTCCAGGAGGGTTTCTGCCAGTACAACGCCTGGATTCTATTCATCCAGTACGCGGCCTGCTTCGGCGTTGAGGTCACCATGAACAACATCCTCGCTGTGTACCTGGAGACCAAGTACGAGCTGTCGGTCTCCCTTGCGGGTCTCATCGCCTCCCTGTTCGGCCTCATGAACCTCTTCGCTCGCGCTATGGGCGGCGCTCTATCTGACAAGCTGTTCCAGTGGTTCGGCGCGGGCACCAGCGGCATGCGCGGGCGCATCTATGCGCAGTCTATCTCTCTGGTCTGGGAGGGCATCATGCTCCTGATCTTCACCAAGATGGACTCTCTGGGCGCGACTATCGGCGTCCTGCTGCTCTTCTCGCTCGGTGTTCAGATGGCGGAGGGCTGCACTTTCGGAATCGTACCCTACGTGAAGCCCACCGCAACTGGCGCCGTGTCCGGAGTGGTGGGCGCTGGGGGCAACGTCGGCGCTGTGTGCTGGGGCCTCATGTTCCGTTTTGGCCCATCGGAGGCCGACGATGTCCTGTTCATCCTTGGGTTTATCGTGATCGCATCGGCCGTCATGGGTCTCTTCGTGCTCATCCAGGGCCACGACGGGTGCATCACCAAAGCCAAGGGCGAGCCGGAGTCCCTTGACGTGATCTGATCTCACTTCCAGAGAGTCCCGCTGATGTTGTCTTCACAGATCTTCCGTGCTCTCGCACTGCACCTATAATTAATGTAAACTAACTTACTCCTAGCTATCTAATGATTGCATGATGTGCTAGGATGCCCAGTAGTCCCATTATTCCCTTTTTGGTAGGTTTAGGTTCCCTGATATCCCCCTTTAAGCAAAAAAAAACACCCTTTTTCATCCTAGGCTACTGGGCAACCTAGTGTGAAGATGCTAGGAGTACTTGTGTTGGGCGTGGCTGAGCCCCTCAACTTCCCCCACCCCCCCCCCGTCCACGTTGGCTTTCGCTGCGCCTGGAGGGCCTGCGTAAAAGCAACTTCCCCCACCCCACCCCCCTCCACGTTGGCTTTCGCTGCGCCTGGAGGGCCTGCGTAAAAGCTCGTGTAAGGGGATTCTTCCAACGTTTGTTGCAGAGCCTTCACAGGGCCGCTACTTTTCCAGCCGCCTGCAGCTGCTCCAGTTGTTCGCCCTCCTCTCTGCCAGGGGTTCGTGCTGGGTCTTCTTTGGTTTTCCTTTGCTTGAGTTTTTTCTTGGGTTGGTGCTTTGGGTTTTTGGTTGGTGGTGTGGGGTGTGGGGTTTTCCGCTTGTCTCTTGGCAGTGGGGTGTGCGCGCAGGCTGGCTGGTCTGTATAGTTTGCAGGTCGGCGGAGCTCAGGGTTTTTTCCCAACGAGGTTTTTCCCTGAGCTTGCTTGCTTGAGTCTTGCGGCACAAGTCCACGTTGGCAGCCTCGCGCGGAGCGTGGGCAGAAGGCGCGGCCATGCTATATCAGCTTCAAGCCAAAAGCCCTGAACCCGAAATCCTGGTCTTGAGATTCTACAACCAAAACCTGAGTCTCGAAAGTATGCCGCGTGCCCCGTTTCGAGTTCCACTGCGCAAGAACTTTTTGACCCCAAGCCCCCCCAGCCTTGACCCCTGGAACCACGGCTACATGGCTTTACCAAAATACAAGAGACAACGCAAATTCAGCAATGCCCTCCTCCCTCCCCCCAATGTCTGGGAATATGTGCCTGTGAACAGCTCTGACTTGTGAGGCTTGTCATATCTTTTGTCGACGGCTGCTCTTTGTCGAATAAGATACTTGAATGCAGCATGACATCTCAGCGAGCACGGTCAGCCCCTTGCCCGGACAGCATGCGTTTCGAACCCTTAAGTAAGTAGGTTAGCGTGCGCTTTCGGCCCGGCGCGTAGGGGTGCTGCTGGGCGCTGATGGGCTTTGTCGGGCCAGAGGCGGTTCAGGCCAAGTGTGGATCCCAAAGCCATGCTGCAAATAAAGGCATTATATAGTTATAGAGGCCCTCAAAACTGGCTCAAAACGACTCAAAACTTATACATGTTGCCTTCTTTTGCGTTTGGGTATCTTTGACTCCAAAAGTGACACTGTAGGCCAGAAGCAACAGTGTAGGCCAGAAGCAACCGCTATCGAAACGAGCATCTCATACTCAGTTTGTATGAAAGCACAAGTAGGATAGGAGACGGTTTCATAGCAGAAGTGGTGGGAGCTGGATGCGCTTAGGGTTTTGCTTCCCAAGCCCTAACACCTTCTACGCAGGTACTCCGAGATCTCCAACGAAACCACGCCTTCCATCACGAGGCGCATTTTTTCGGGAGTTGGGGTTGCTTGTTCACTTGATCAAGGGTTCAGGGTTTAGGGTTTAGGGTTTAGGGTTTAGGGTTTATGGTCTACGGTTTAGGGTTTAGGGTTTAATTAGGGGTGTCCTCAGTAGCTGTGCGGAAGGCCTGGCATCGTGACGCCCATCTCCGCGCCGGCAGCTTCTGGTCGCAGGCTGGTGAGTAGTGGCGAAGGGCTGGGTTTGGAGTACTATTCTTTAATAGGGTTTAGGGTTTAGGGTTTAGGGTTTAGGGTTTAGGGTTTAGGGTTTAGGGTTTAGGGTTTGGAGGCCCTCATTCCCTTTTTTTGGGGGTTTAGGGTCCCTTATACTTCCCTTTAAGGCAGAAAGGGCACCCTGTTTATACCTAGGTTACTCTGGGGTGTAGACTTTAATGCCTTTTTTGGTTCTGGGTTCCTATCATAGCTACTTTTATCTAAAGCGTACATACGTTTTTTCCAGGGTCTACTCCAAAGTAGGCAAGGGGCCCTGAACTGTAGGCCCTAAACTTGCGGTTTAGGGTTCAGGGTGTGGTGTTTCAACTGCAAAGCCCCTAGCCTCCCTGAGTACTACACCCTACACCCCCTAAACCCCCCTACCCCCCAACCCCTTAAACCCTAACCCCCCTCAACCTCTTAAACCCTAAACCCCATAAACCCCTTAAGCCTTGAACCCCCTATACCTTAAACCCTGATCCAAAACCTTTTTTGGCTGTTGCCCATGGTTTCTTGGCCATTCCCCACGATTTTTTGGCCGTTGGTAGGTTGATACGTGTGTTCTTGAGGTGGTTGTGGGATCTTACCTGAACCCCAAACCCCTAAAGTGTGAACCCCTCAACCCCAAAACCCTAACCCCTAAGACCCTAAACCTAAACCCCTAAAGCCATAATCTCCTGACTCCGAAGCCTGAACCCCAAACCCTAAGCCCGAAGCCCTTAAACCCTATACCCTAAACCCTAAACCCCTAAACCCCAAATCCTGAACCCTAAACCCCAAACCCCTAGTCCGCTAACCCTTAAACCCTAAAGCCCTAAACCCAAACCCCTAAGCCCCTAATCCCCTAACCCCTAGTCCCCTAAACAATAAACACCTACACCCTAACCCTAAATAAACCCTAAACCCTAACCCTAAACCCCAAACCCCAAACCCTAAACCCTAAACCCCTAATCCCCCAAACCCTAAACACCTAAACCCCTAAACCCCTAAACCCTAAACCCGAAACCCTGACATGCAGCTGCGACAGGCACAGCCTGAGTGCGCCCGCCTCAGCTGGCGGGGGGGGGGGTCGAGGACCTTAAGAACCAGGGGGCTTAAGGGTTCAGGGTTCAGGGTTCAGGGTTCAGGGTTCAGGGTTCAGGGTTCAGGGTTCAGGGTTCAGGGTTCAGGGTTCAGGGTTCAGGGGTTGTGGTTTAGGGTTTAGGGTTTAGGGTTTAGGGTTTAGGGTTTAGGGTTTAGGGTTTAGGGTTTAGGGTTTAGGGTTTAGGGTTTAGGGTTTAGGGTTTCGGGTTCAGGGTTTAGGGTTTAGAGTTTCGGGTTTAGGGTTTAGGGTTTAGGGGTTTGAGATTTTGCTGGACTGTGGGGTTCAAGGAGGAAATTTGGTGTTTAGGGAATTATTCCCGTTGTCGTAAAAAAGGCCGATGTCCGTTGGCCTGTCCAGGACAGACGGTGAGGCTTAATCCTCACCTTTTCGTTTCTGTTTTCGCTTGGGCGCTCGGGCTGTAAGGCCCTCGGCCGAGCGTTCGGGGTCTGTCGCTCGACGGAAGCGACCCCTCACTTAGTTTAGGGTTTAGGGTTTAGGGTTCAGGGTTTAGGGTTTATAGGCTTTAGGGTTTAGGGTTATGGGTAAATAGGGAATACTTGGGCCTTAAAGTACTTCCTATTATATAGGGACTTTGGGGCCCAAGCATGTAGTCATGGGGTACATGCACCCTTAGTGGGTACAGCTCATGTGTTTTGAGGCTTTCTGCAACGTGTCGTGTTTTAAGTGCTTAGGATGTAGGAATCGGGGTAAACCCTAAACCCTAAACCCTAAACCCTAAACCCTAAACCCTAAACCCTAAACCCTAAACCCTAGACCCTAGACCCTAGACCCTAGACCCTGAAGCCCTGCCTTTGCCAGCCCTGGGCGCCTCTGAACCCTAGAACTAAGCCTTAACTGCGCCTACTCTCACCCAAGTGCCCGGAAAACGCTCCCCCAAAACATTGCAAGAGGGTTTAGGGTTTTAGGATTTGAGTAGAAGTCCAAGGGCCCACCCGCCTTTGAGGTTGTATCCGGTTTGCCATCATTGGGGTGTCAGGGCAGGTTAGGACTTCTGTTTGTGGGTTGTGAGTTTTTTGGTGTCTCAAGCCTAGTCGCAAACCCAAAACCATTACTCTAAACTTAACCCGAAACCCTAAACCCCAAACCCTCACTAGAAAATTCAATCCCAAGAAGCAAAAAGCAGCAAACTGGAGCACCGAGATTTCCTGCTCTCAAGCCTCGCAATCCCACTCGCCTTTCGAGTAGTAGGGTGGTTTAGGGTTTAGGGTGTAGGGTTGCAGGTCCATGCTCCTAAATAGGGAATACTTGGGGTTTAGGGTTTAGGGTTTAGAGTTTCGGGTTTAGGGTTTAGGGTTCAGGGTTCAAGTCCTACTTCAGGGTGTCCGACACCCTAAGCCCTAAACTCAAAAAGCTGATGGACCTCAGGCAGAAGCAAGTCGAACCTGCGGAGCAGCAGCAGGCCTCGGACGTGCCTTGTGGGTTGAGTGGGTTTTGGAGTACGATTGGGGTTTAGGGTTTAGGGTTTAGGGGTTTAGGGGTTTAGGGTTTAGGGCTTAGGGCTTAGGGCTTAGGATTTTTCCTTCTTTGGGTTCTGGGTTCCTATGATAGCTACTTCTGCCTAACACTATATACTTTTTTCCAGGGTCTACTCCAAAGTAGGGCTGATGGGTTCAGACCTTTTAGACTTCGAGCAGCCCGAATCCTACACAGCCCTCTGAACACAGGGTTTAAACTCCGACGAAGAGAAGGGAAATTCGAAACGAAGGTTGGGGATAGAGTCGTTGCGTGCATGTGGGTTCAGGGAAGTTGTAACTCGGAGGGTTCAGGGTTCCTAAACCCTAAGGCCCAAAACCCCTACACCACCAATCCCTGTCAGAAAGTCCGGATGCGAGCTCCCAACCAAACCCTCCACCTCCTTCCCGCCACAAGGGCGTTTAGGGCTCCAGGGGTCATTGGGGACTAGGGACCCTAAGGTTTTGTGTTTAGGGCTTCGGGTAGCAGACTATGTGAGGCTTAGATGGTGGGCGTTGATCTAAATATGTGAACCCTTTTGGGTGTGTCCATTGTGGTGTCTAGTCCTCATAGACCCAGAGTAGGCCCGGATTCCTCAGTTTTTCGGGTTTCGACTGCTCTTTTGACCCCCCAAAAGGGGCATCTTTCTTGTTAAATCCCTAGGCTACTCTTGAGCCTAGTAGCATAGATTCCTGTCTAGATTTTGCCGTATAGTATATGTCCACCAAAAAGGGTACAACCATTTGATCAGGCCCCAGATCATCCCATGGCCTAATCTGAGGAGCCTCCTTTCCCCAAAGGGTCAGTCTTTGAAAGTAAGGCCTGCGCCCTAGCAGCCTTTAAAGCTTAAACCGAAACCGACTAAGTTCCTAAATCACAAACCTCGCACCCCGAAATAGTCAGTATAGTCAGGGGGGCCCCTCCTGGTAGGATGCGCAGGGTTGCTATCCCTTGTAGCGTTTTTACAGGGCGTAGGGTCTAGGGTTTAGGGTTCGGGGTTTAAAGTTTAGGGGTTGACCCCTAAACCCTAAACCCTGAACCCTGAACCCTAAACCCCTCCCCCCCCCCCCCCCAAACCTGAACTCAGTAGGATTTCGTTTGCGGGCTGACGGCCTCAGGCTTAGGAAGCTTTAGGAAGCTTAGGGCTTACCGTGCAAGATGCTCCTTGGGGTTTCGGGTTTAGGGTCTAGGGTTTAGGGTTCAGGGTAAAGGGTTTAGGGTTTAAAGGGTTTAGGGTTTACAGGGTTTAGGGTTTAGGGTTTGGGGTCTGCGGTTCGGGGATTGGGTCTTAGGGTTTAGGGTACCCAAAATTCTATAAGCCCTGCCCACTCCAAAGCCTCTGCATGCTCCAGGACCTCCCTGAAACTTTGAAGCCCCGCAGCCTTCAACCCGCAACCCTAACTCCTAAACCCTATACCCTATAATTCTAAGCCCTAAACCTAGCCCCCCTCGCAACCGCCCCGAGAATGCAGGGATCAGAGTTTGCTCCCCTAGACTCCGTAGACTCCCTAAACTCCCCAGACTCCCTCAGAGTTTAGGGTTTTAGGGATTAGGGTTTAGGGTTTGGGGATTCTAAACTTCCTAAACTCCCCAATCTCCGTAAACTCTAAGCGGCCACAGGTGAAGGAGGCGGAGGTCGCTGAGGCAGCGCGGCGCGACTGCCAAGTGGAGCGAAGGCGCGCTTTCAGGGTTTTGGGGTGTTAGGGTTTAGGGATGAGGGGTTAGGGGTTTAGGGGTTTTTGGGGGTTTAGGGTTTGGGGATTAGGGTTTAGGGTTTAGGGTTTTGGGGTTTTCCGAAACATTTCAACCCGGCGGCGGAGCTCCTCGCCTTCCCAGACGGCTCGAAGGCGACGGTTGGAAGTGACATGTCTAAGGGTCGCTATTGTTAGGGTCTTTTGACCCTTTATAATAGGGTTTGGGGTTTAGGGTTTAGGGTTTCGGGCTTAGGGTGTAGCGCTAGGGTTTAGGGTAGTTAAGGCCCTCTGAAGGGAATAGTATGGGCCCCTTGGGTTTTGAGGGTATATAGAAGGGGTATCCAAGGGGTCCTCTCTTAAGGCCATACTAGTGACATTCCCTCCGGCAGTGCAGGCTCCAAGCAAGCAAGATAGCTGCGGTAGAGATGTCCACCCCCGAAGAGATGTCCACCCCCGAGAAGGCCGCCGACGGCGTACTCCCGACGACGAACAAGCACGAGCTCTCGTGGAAGAAGTACGAGACTTACTACTGCGAGGTGGACCCGAAACAGGGCGACCGCGCAACCGAGATCAAGCTGCTCTCCTTCAAGCGGCCGCACATGCGCGGCTTCCACTTCGCGTGGTTCGGCTTCTTCATGGCCTTCTCGTCGTGGTTCGCGTTCGCGCCGCTGATGCCGCAGATCAAGAAGGACCTGGGCCTGACCAAGGACGAGGTGTACAACGCGAACATCGCATCTGTGGCGTCGACCGTGCTCATGCGCTTCGCTGTGGGCCCTCTGTGCGACAGGTTCGGCACGCGCACCATGTTCTCCATGCTGCTGACGTTCGGAGCTATCCCGGTCTTCTTCGGTGGTCTCGTGAACAACGGTACTGGCCTGGTCATCATCCGCTTTGTCATCGGTGTCCTGGGCGCGACCTTTGTGCCATGCCAGGCGTGGTGCTCGCAGCTGTTCGCGAAGGAGATTGTGGGCACGGCCAACGCCATGGCTGGTGGCTGGGGCAACCTTGGAGGCGGTGCTGTTCAGCTGCTCATGGTCGGCGTGTGGAACATGTTCCGCACTGGCTTTGACGACGAGGAGGCCTGGCGCCTTTCTTTCATCGTCCCCGGAGTTTTGACATGCGGTACCGGCATTTGCATGTACTTCTTTTCGGACGACTCGCCGAAGGGCAACTTCAAGGAACTGGAGCAGAGGGGCACAATGGAGCGCAAGTCGTCCAAGAAGTCGTTCCAGGAGGGTTTCTGCCAGTACAACGCCTGGATTCTGTTCATCCAGTACGCGGCCTGCTTCGGCGTTGAGGTCACCATGAACAACATCCTCGCTGTGTACCTGGAGACCAAGTACGAGCTGTCGGTCTCCCTTGCGGGTCTCATCGCCTCCCTGTTCGGCCTCATGAACCTCTTCGCTCGCGCTATGGGCGGCGCTCTATCGGACAAGCTGTTCCAGTGGTTCGGCGCGGGCACCACCGGCATGCGCGGGCGCATCTATGCGCAGTCTATCTCTCTGGTCTGGGAGGGCGTCATGCTCCTGATCTTCACCAAGATGGACTCTCTGGGCGCGACTATCGGCGTCCTGCTGCTCTTCTCGCTCGGTGTTCAGATGGCGGAGGGCTGCACTTTCGGAATCGTACCCTACGTGAAGCCCACCGCAACTGGCGCCGTGTCCGGAGTGGTGGGCGCTGGGGGCAACGTCGGCGCTGTGTGCTGGGGCCTCATGTTCCGTTTTGGCCCATCGGAGGCCGACGATGTCCTGTTCATCCTTGGGTTTATCGTGATCGCATCGGCCGTCATGGGTCTCTTCGTGCTCATCCAGGGCCACGACGGGTGCATCACCAAAGCCAAGGGCGAGCCGGAGTCCCTTGACGTGATCTGATCTCACTTCCAGAGAGTCCCGCTGATGTTGTCTTCACAGATCTTCCGTGCTCTCGCACTGCACCTATAATTAATGTAAACTAACTTACTCCTAGCTATCTAATGATTGCATGATGTGCTAGGATGCCCAGTAGTCCCATTATTCCCTTTTTGGTAGGTTTAGGTTCCCTGATATCCCCCTTTAAGCAAAAAAAACACCCTTTTTCATCCTAGGCTACTGGGCAACCTAGTGTGAAGATGCTAGGAGTACTTGTGTTGGGCGTGGCTGAGCCCCTCAACTTCCCCCACCCCCCCCCCCCCGTCCACGTTGGCTTTCGCTGCGCCTGGAGGGCCTGCGTAAAAGCAACTTCCCCCACCCCACCCCCCTCCACGTTGGCTTTCGCTGCGCCTGGAGGGCTGCGTAAAAGCTCGTGTAAGGGGATTCTTCCAACGTTTGTTGCAGAGCCTTCACAGGGCCGCTACTTTTCCAGCCGCCTGCAGCTGCTCCAGTTGTTCGCCCTCCTCTCTGCCAGGGGTTCGTGCTGGGTCTTCTTTGGTTTTCCTTTGCTTGAGTTTTTTCTTGGGTTGGTGCTTTGGGTTTTTGGTTGGTGGTGTGGGGTGTGGGGTTTTCCGCTTGTCTCTTGGCAGTGGGGTGTGCGCGCAGGCTGGCTGGTCTGTATAGTTTGCAGGTCGGCGGAGCTCAGGGTTTTTTCCCAACGAGGTTTTTCCCTGAGCTTGCTTGCTTGAGTCTTGCGGCACAAGTCCACGTTGGCAGCCTCGCGCGGAGCGTGGGCAGAAGGCGCGGCCATGCTATATCAGCTTCAAGCCAAAAGCCCTGAACCCGAAATCCTGGTCTTGAGATTCTACAACCAAAACCTGAGTCTCGAAAGTATGCCGCGTGCCCCGTTTCGAGTCCCTAAACCCCAAATCCTGAACCCTAAACCCCAAACCCCTAGTCCGCTAACCCTTAAACCCTAAAGCCCTAAACCCAAACCCCTAAGCCCCTAATCCCCTAACCCCTAGTCCCCTAAACAATAAACACCTACACCCTAACCCTAAATAAACCCTAAACCCTAACCCTAAACCCCAAACCCCAAACCCTAAACCCTAAACCCCTAATCCCCCAAACCCTAAACACCTAAACCCCTAAACCCCTAAACCCTAAACCCGAAACCCTGACATGCAGCTGCGACAGGCACAGCCTGAGTGCGCCCGCCTCAGCTGGCGGGGGGGGGGGTCGAGGACCTTAAGAACCAGGGGGCTTAAGGGTTCAGGGTTCAGGGTTCAGGGTTCAGGGTTCAGGGTTCAGGGTTCAGGGTTCAGGGTTCAGGGTTCAGGGTTCAGGGTTCAGGGGTTGGGGTTTAGGGTTTAGGGTTTAGGGTTTAGGGTTTAGGGTTTAGGGTTTAGGGTTTAGGGTTTAGGGTTTAGGGTTTAGGGTTTAGGGTTCAGGGTTTAGGGTTTAGGGTTTCGGGTTTAGGGTTTAGGGTTTAGGGGTTTGAGATTTTGCTGGACTGTGGGGTTCAAGGAGGAAATTTGGTGTTTAGGGAATTATTCCCGTTGTCGTAAAAAAGGCCGATGTCCGTTGGCCTGTCCAGGACAGACGGTGAGGCTTAATCCTCACCTTTCCGTTTCTGTTTTCGCTTGGGCGCTCGGGCTGTAAGGCCCTCGGCCGAGCGTTCGGGGTCTGTCGCTCGACGGAAGCGACCCCTCACTTAGTTTAGGGTTTAGGGTTTAGGGTTCAGGGTTTAGGGTTTATAGGCTTTAGGGTTTAGGGTTATGGGTAAATAGGGAATACTTGGGCCTTAAAGTACTTCCTATTATATAGGGACTTTGGGGCCCAAGCATGTAGTCATGGGGTACATGCACCCTTAGTGGGTACAGCTCATGTGTTTTGAGGCTTTCTGCAACGTGTCGTGTTTTAAGTGCTTAGGATGTAGGATTCGGGGTAAACCCTAAACCCTAAACCCTAAACCCTGAACCCTGAACCCTGAACCCTGAACCCTGAACCCTGAACCCTAAACCCCCCCCCCCCCCCCCCCCCAAACCTGAACTCAGTAGGATTTCGTTTGCGGGCTGACGGCCTCATTCTTAGGAAGCTTTAGGAAGCTTAGGGCTTACCGTGCAAGATGCTCCTTGGGGTTTCGGGTTTAGGGTCTAGGGTTTAGGGTTCAGGGTAAAGGGTTTAGGGTTTAAAGGGTTTAGGGTTTACAGGGTTTAGGGTTTAGGGTTTGGGGTCTGCGGTTCGGGGATTGGGTCTTAGGGTTTAGGGTACCCAAAATTCTATAAGCCCTGCCCACTCCAAAGCCTCTGCATGCTCCAGGACCTCCCTGAAACTTTGAAGCCCCGCAGCCTTCAACCCGCAACCCTAACTCCTAAACCCTATACCCTATAATTCTAAGCCCTAAACCTAGCCCCCCTCGCAACCGCCCCGAGAATGCAGGGATCAGAGTTTGCTCCCCTAGACTCCGTAGACTCCCTAAACTCCCCAGACTCCCTCAGAGTTTAGGGTTTAGGGATTAGGGTTTAGGGTTTGGGGATTCTAAACTTCCTAAACTCCCCAATCTCCGTAAACTCTAAGCGGCCACAGGTGAAGGAGGCGGAGGTCGCTGAGGCAGCGCGGCGCGACTGCCAAGTGGAGCGAAGGCGCGCTTTCAGGGTTTTGGGGTGTTAGGGTTTAGGGATGAGGGGTTAGGGGTTTAGGGGTTTTTGGGGGTTTAGGGTTTGGGGATTAGGGTTTAGGGTTTAGGGTTTTGGGGTTTTCCGAAACATGTCAACCCGGCGGCGGAGCTCCTCGCCTTCCCAGACGGCTCGAAGGCGACGGTTGGAAGTGACATGTCTAAGGGTCGCTATTGTTAGGGTCTTTTGACCCTTTATAATAGGGTTTGGGGTTTAGGGTTTAGGGTTTCGGGCTTAGGGTGTAGCGCTAGGGTTTAGGGTAGTTAAGGCCCTCTGAAGGGAATAGTATGGGCCCCTTGGGTTTTGAGGGTATATAGAAGGGGTATCCAAGGGGTCCTCTCTTAAGGCCATACTAGTGACATTCCCTCCGGCAGTGCAGGCTCCAAGCAAGCAAGATAGCTGCGGTAGAGATGTCCACCCCCGAAGAGATGTCCACCCCCGAGAAGGCCGCCGACGGCGTACTCCCGACGACGAACAAGCACGAGCTCTCGTGGAAGAAGTACGAGACTTACTACTGCGAGGTGGACCCGAAACAGGGCGACCGCGCAACCGAGATCAAGCTGCTCTCCTTCAAGCGGCCGCACATGCGCGGCTTCCACTTCGCGTGGTTCGGCTTCTTCATGGCCTTCTCGTCGTGGTTCGCGTTCGCGCCGCTGATGCCGCAGATCAAGAAGGACCTGGGCCTGACCAAGGACGAGCTGTACAATGCGAACATCGCATCTGTGGCGTCGACCGTGCTCATGCGCTTCGCTGTGGGCCCTCTGTGCGACAGGTTCGGCACGCGCACCATGTTCTCCATGCTGCTGACGTTCGGAGCTATCCCGGTCTTCTTCGGTGGTCTCGTGAACAACGGTACTGGCCTGGTCATCATCCGCTTTGTCATCGGTGTCCTGGGCGCGACCTTTGTGCCATGCCAGGCGTGGTGCTCGCAGCTGTTCGCGAAGGAGATTGTGGGCACGGCCAACGCCATGGCTGGTGGCTGGGGCAACCTTGGAGGCGGTGCTGTTCAGCTGCTCATGGTCGGCGTGTGGAACATGTTCCGCACTGGCTTTGACGACGAGGAGGCCTGGCGCCTTTCTTTCATCGTCCCCGGAGTTTTGACATGCGGTACCGGCATTTGCATGTACTTCTTTTCGGACGACTCGCCGAAGGGCAACTTCAAGGAACTGGAGCAGAGGGGCACAATGGAGCGCAAGTCGTCCAAGAAGTCGTTCCAGGAGGGTTTCTGCCAGTACAACGCCTGGATTCTATTCATCCAGTACGCGGCCTGCTTCGGCGTTGAGGTCACCATGAACAACATCCTCGCTGTGTACCTGGAGACCAAGTACGAGCTGTCGGTCTCCCTTGCGGGTCTCATCGCCTCCCTGTTCGGCCTCATGAACCTCTTCGCTCGCGCTATGGGCGGCGCTCTATCGGACAAGCTGTTCCAGTGGTTCGGCGCGGGCACCACCGGCATGCGCGGGCGCATCTATGCGCAGTCTATCTCTCTGGTCTGGGAGGGCGTCATGCTCCTGATCTTCACCAAGATGGACTCTCTGGGCGCGACTATCGGCGTCCTGCTGCTCTTCTCGCTCGGTGTTCAGATGGCGGAGGGCTGCACTTTCGGAATCGTACCCTACGTGAAGCCCACCGCAACTGGCGCCGTGTCCGGAGTGGTGGGCGCTGGGGGCAACGTCGGCGCTGTGTGCTGGGGCCTCATGTTCCGTTTTGGCCCATCGGAGGCCGACGATGTCCTGTTCATCCTTGGGTTTATCGTGATCGCATCGGCCGTCATGGGTCTCTTCGTGCTCATCCAGGGCCACGACGGGTGCATCACCAAAGCCAAGGGCGAGCCGGAGTCCCTTGACGTGATCTGATCTCACTTCCAGAGAGTCCCGCTGATGTTGTCTTCACAGATCTTCCGTGCTCTCGCACTGCACCTATAATTAATGTAAACTAACTTACTCCTAGCTATCTAATGATTGCATGATGTGCTAGGATGCCCAGTAGTCCCATTATTCCCTTTTTGGTAGGTTTAGGTTCCCTGATATCCCCCTTTAAGCAAAAAAAAACACCCTTTTTCATCCTAGGCTACTGGGCAACCTAGTGTGAAGATGCTAGGAGTACTTGTGTTGGGCGTGGCTGAGCCCCTCAACTTCCCCCACCCCCCCCCCCGTCCACGTTGGCTTTCGCTGCGCCTGGAGGGCCTGCGTAAAAGCAACTTCCCCCACCCCACCCCCCTCCACGTTGGCTTTCGCTGCGCCTGGAGGGCCTGCGTAAAAGCTCGTGTAAGGGGATTCTTCCAACGTTTGTTGCAGAGCCTTCACAGGGCCGCTACTTTTCCAGCCGCCTGCAGCTGCTCCAGTT